CTATCAATTCGCCTAGCAAACGAGTAAAAAAAAAAAAAAAAGACACGTGACAAGGTACAATTAATAATTATTTAACAAGACATTTATTTTAATTATTTTAAAAAGATTATTAATCATTAGAATAATGTTGTGTACATTGTGGGGTTGACATCTTTGAGTACATTTCATTTGAATTCAAAAAGTGTTGGGCGGAAAAATATATTTAAAAAGAAAAATTATCCAATCATGTGTCGTCACGTAACACAATGTCAAAAATGATGTAAAAAAAATGTACAGGTAGCAAGATTGTAATAATTATTCATTTGCAGTCTAGGCCCTTCATTTGATGGTCAAAAGTTAATCACCATTTCCACACCTTCCTCGAGGCTTTATCCTTATGCTCAAACCCGCTTAGGCTCCATCTTTTCTTATGTTTTAGAAGATTGTGATTTTATTATTTTTTACTTCTATTCTTTCTTTCTTTGTTTGTTTGTTTTCCCTTTCCTCTTAGCATGTTATGCATGTGCATTTCACGTGACAATTTAATGTTCAATTTAACAAAAAAAATATTAAAAACGACTACCTACTTTAATAGCGTAACGTCGAGGATGCAAAGGTTCAATTTTAAAGATTGGCAGTTAACTAGAGGTATTAAGAGAAGGGCAACTAAATGTATACCCTATAGGCTAAATTTCAATCGTGGTAATTATACTTACACTCTATTTCAATTACGTTACTTCAATTTTGATTTCAATTAAAGTAATTTTGACCAATTGTACTAATGATAGTCAATGATATAGCAACCACTAAATGATAGTTATCATGCGTAACTGTTAGATGATGACATTGAATAAATGACGAATATCAGTATTAACTACAATGTCATCCATTTTTGTCAATCCAAGTAACGAATTAGAGTGAGTCACCTGATTGAAATCAAATAAAGTGTAATTACTTGATTGAATAAAATTGAAATACAATTACTTTATCAGAATATAATAAAAGAATAGACTTCACAAATGAAATTTAACAATAATCTATTGCAAGATGAGAATGCAATTTAAAATATTTTCTTGTCTCCCAACATTTGCGTTGCAACATATAAATAGATCCAAGAGTAACCATTAAATGAGAACTAAACGTATACTTAAAAAGATAGGTTTGACATCAACCAGGGACAAATGTAGAGGGGATTGTCCAAGCCAACTTCAGTTTGGTTTTGGATCCGTTCCTAAGTCAGCAATGACAACTAAACATGTATATTAAAAATAAAACCAAGTTTATCATCACTTCGAGACACGTACTAATGCCATTTATAATTGACAAGGGAGATTCGTGTACATGCTTAGTATACAAATCAAACATAATTAAACAATATAACGAATAAGATTTTATTTGGTTCTTTTATACTATTTAATATTATTAAATCATCCTTCCAAACATGCAGGATGAGTTTTTGGACGAACTTTTAATTTTTTAGACTTTTACGAGTTTTTCAATAAGTGGTATTGAAAAATGAAGGTATAAAAACTTCTCTATGTACACCAAGAAAAGAGGAGATTTTTTTTTTTACAATATTTACTTTTTCTATTCCAATAGGGACAATCACGATATTTTTACAAATTGAATTGGTTAACAAAACTAATTTCGCATAATAATCATGATCTAAACTGAGCCTTGTTTGATGGTCATTATTTGGGAAAAACAATGTTTTGAATAGTGATTTTTTGGAGAACGTGTAGTTAACAAGTATGAAAAATTTTTGGATTTACGTGCAAAATATTTTAATGTATGATTGAAAATGAATATATAGAAAAAAGAGTTTTCTTTCAACGACTGTGCTACATGTATATAATGATTTATATACACATGATGTTCTGAAATATGATTGTGTCAGAATTTCTTCAAAAAAAAAAA